CTGAATGTGGGCAGCAGCATGCCACAGGCTGGGGTCCCAGACTGAATAAAAGGAGAAAGCGAGTAGAGTCAGCATTCATCTCTCTCCACTTCCTGACTATGGGCACAGTGCAACCAGTTGCTTACACTCCTACAGTTATAGTCTCTTACGCTCCTACAGCCACAGCTAGAGCCACTTGTGTGGTCATACCTGCTCTGTCATGATGGGCTGTACCCTCAAACTGTTAACCAAAATAAACCAGCCATGGGAAAAGTAACTCATATCCTAATCTAAAATATTGAAAAATTACAAACTGTGTATTAGTATAGAAAGGTTAAACAAACCATGCATCCAAAATTGCAATATTATTCAGTCATTTAACAACTCAAGGACATTTAAATGACATATAAAAATGTTTAAATGGGGCTGGAGAGATGGCTCAGCAATTAAGAGCACCGCCTGCTTTTGTAGAGGTTCCGGATTCAATTCCTAGCACCTACATGGTGGCTAACAACTGTCCATAACTCCAGTTTCAGGGGATCCGACACCCTCTTCTGATTCCTTGGGCATTGTGCTGGATAGCGTTAGTGTCAACTTGACACACCTGGGTTGAGGGAGCCTCAATTAGGGAATTGCCTCTATTGGACTGGCCTGTGGCCATGTCTGAGGGCATCTTCTTGATGAGTAATGTGGGAGGGCCCACCCACTGTGGGTGGTGCCACCCCTGGGCAGGTGGGCCTGTGTTGCATAAGAAAGCAGGCTGAGCAGGACACAGCAATGCTCACATGTGGTGATGCTGTCATAGACAAGCCACTGTGCTGCCAGTCTTAAGGAGTGGAGTACTGGGGTCTGAAGAGATGACTCAGCAGTTAAAAGCACTGGCTGCTCTTACAGAGGACCCCGGTTCGATTCCCAACACCCACAGTTAACAACTGTACCTAACTCCAGTTCCAGGGGATCCAAAACCCTCTTCTGACCTCTGTGGGCACTGCACAACAGGCATGCATTTATATACATGCAGGCAATATACTCATACACATAAATAAAAAATAATAAAATATTTAAAAAATGTTTAAATGTAATGTTAATCACATAAGTAGGATTAAAAACTACACACATCATGCATGGGCTATGTTTTGTTAAGTAAATGGTGCATCAAAGAAAATATAAAATATACTAAGATGTTTGCAATAACGAAATTCATGCTTCCATTTTGTGCAGACCTACTAAGCACCAGGCACACTGAACAAGGTGAATGAAGCTTGTGATAGCAGAAAACATGTGGCCTGGGAGAACAACCACAGTCTAGAGAGAGCGGAGAGGGTCATACTGCTGATTCTTTCTCTTCTGCAGACTCCCTGGGTGACCTTCCAGGCCTCCATACTCCTCTCACAAGGAATAGATGACAGTGCCATCTGGAGAGCCATTCAACCTCTTAGTGCTTCCCTCAAAAAAACACCTGCACATGTGCCCAAGGCCCCACACCCCAGGATGGCCCCAGCAATGTTACTTGTAGTGAACATCTGGGGACAACCTGATCATCTGTCAAAGGGTGGATGAAAAAAATGTGTGGTGGTCACCAGCTAGGACAACCCCACTACAGTTCTCATCCAGAGAAATCCCAATTTGATGACAAGAAGCGGGAAAATAAATTGCAGAAGCATCTCCTAGATAGATTAGCATTCATGTACAGAAGGCCCCTCTCCCAATCAGAGCTTTAGCTTTTCTTAGCACTCATGTACAGAAGGCCCCCCTCCCAATCAGAGCTTTAGCTTTTCAGAGTTTCAGACCTGATATACACAGCCTGAAAATATTTACATGGGAAATTTCAGCAGCAAGTAATCCTAACTTTTAAATTGTATGCCCTTCTGAATAGCATAATGAATGCTCCCAATATCTACCTGATCCACTCAAGACAGTCATCCATTTGTCCAGGAGATCCACTGGAGAGTATGCATTGTTCTCTCCTTAGTCACTGTGTTTATGTTAAAGTAACTCTTAGTTTTTAAATCACAGTGCCAAAGCACAGGGGTAGTAATACTATCAATTTAAATTCACCAAAGAAAAGCTGTAAAGTGATGTATACAGGAGGTTCAGGATTGTCTACAGTGCCAGGCACCCGCCGGTGTTTTAGAATGTGTCTCTTGCTGATCAAGATGAACTGCTGTAGATTGTTTTGTATTGTTTTGTTTGCTATATAACCAAGGATGACCTTGAACTCTTAATCCTCTTGTCTCCACCTCACAAATTCTGGAACTCCAGGTGTGCACCACCACACTCAGCTTTGCACAGAAAATACTTTTAGGTATTGCTTATGTACACATATAGTCAACAAAATTTATATAGAGGCACAAACTGGAAGGACTATAATTTATGACAGTGGTTTCTCCCGAGGAGGGATCCTTGAGGAGACTTCAATGTTTTGAGACAGGGTCTCTCTGTAGCCCCAGCTGGCCTGGATCCTGCTTATCTAGACCAGGATCTCACAGAGATCTGACTGTCTCTATTTACAGAGTGCTGTGATTAAAGGCATACACCACCACATCTGGCAGGAAATTTCAGTTTTATCTGTTATGCTTAATAATTATATTTTTAGGAAGCAAAGATGAGAAAATGCTGACTTTAGTTAATTTTGGGCCATGAATTCCTGGGACACTTAGCGTATTTTACCCCTAAGCACCACCCTTCTTTCCCCAGAAGAGAAATGTGGTGAAAAGCCCACTGGATAAGGAAACAGCTCTCTTTGGAAGCCTTTATCAGCCCTAGACTTGGCCAATGGTTCTCAAAGCAGGGTTCCTGGGCAGTGTCAGCAGCCCGGAGATGCCAATCCTCAGGGTCCTGCACTTGCTTGCTTTGTAGTAGGTTACTGTAGCAATGTGGGTCTTAGCATGCTTTCCAGGTTAGGATGGTATATAGCTGAAGTCTGAGAACCTCTGGGCTGAGCTCTAACTGTGGTGAGTGCACCTGTTAGTTGGTACTCTGATAACTTTCCTTCAGTTCTTAATCTTAAAATGTGAGGGAATATTCCCAACTGTAAATATGAAATGTTCCAAAATCTGAGAATTTCTGAGCAGTGATAGGATACTACAAGTAGAAAAATTCACACCTGATCTCATATGATAGGTCAAAGCAAAATTTAGGTGCAGTAAAAATACTGCATTGTTTGTCTGGAGAGATGGCTCAGTGGTTAGGAGCACTGGCTGTTCTTGCAAAGGGCTTGGGTTCCATTCCCAGCACCCACATGGTGGCTAATGACAGTCCGCAACTCCAGTTCCAGGGGCTCTGACATCCTCTTCCGGCCTCCGTGGGCATTGCATGCATGGGTGCACTTACACATATGTGGGCAAAACACTCATACACATAAAATAAAAATAAATAAATTTAAAAAATAAAATAACATTGCACTGTGTGTGTAGAATATGTATATAAAATGTTTATAAATCATAGGCTAGGGAGATAGCTCAGTTGATAAAGTGCTTGTCTTGCAAATGTAAGTACCTGAGTTAAATCTCGAGAACCCAAACTTGGCATTGTGGTGCCAATCCCAGTGTTAGGAGATGAAAGCAGGGGGATTCCCTTTTCCCCCAGGGCTCACTGATCAGTCAGAGGAGCCTACTTAGCAAGCCCTAGGCTAGTGAGAGACTTTGTGGCTTTACCTGAAGAACAACACAGGAGGTTGTCCTCTGGCCTCCACATGTGCTCATTGAAGCACACACCAATAGGTGTGCACACATACAGATGTATATAAAACATACATAAAGTTCCTGTTAAGACTTGGGTATCCCGCAAATACTTTACTATTCACTTACCAACATCCAGAATTCAGTAACAATCTGAAATCCAAAATACCTCTGATGCTGAGCAATTTAGATAGGGAACATTCAATCTGTATTATGATCCTTCTCATCCTACAACTATGGAAACAGGCACAGAAAAGCCAACCTCCCTATCCAACGTCCAGCACTTTGCCTGGAAAGTCCCTTCTTTTGACCATGCAACCTCAAGGGAAGACTTAAAATAGGCCCGTTTTACAGATGAGGAAGCTGGAATTCAGAGGGAGGGAGAGTGACTTGCCCAGGGTCTCAAACAGGGAGGGCACAGCAGATTGTCTGTGGCCTTTGTGTAAGAGTTCTGGACTTGACCAAGACCTGCTAGGGGTCAGTCAGCCAGGAGGGCAGAGGAGGGGATGAAGGAGGAAGCTCGGCCAGACAGCTGCAGCCCTGCCTGGGTGTGGCGTCAGGTCTGGGCCCAGCTGCTCCTTTTGCCATGTCCGCTGACAACCCAGCGTGACCTGCCACCCACCCACCCCCTCTGGGAACTGTGGGGGCCTTTCCCTCCTCCAGCTTCTGCTTCTTTGTGTGTGTGTGTGTGTGTGTGTGTGTGTGTGTGTGTGTGTGTGTATGTGTGTGTGTGCAGTATACATGTGTTTATATGTGTGTGTGCATGTGTGTGTGTGTGTGCTGTATACACATGTTTATGTGTCTGTAGGCGTATGTGTGCATATGGTAGTCAGAGGTAAACATCTGTCATCTGGTGTCTTCCACTATCATTCTCCACTTATCTTTTGAGACAGGTTCTCACACTGAATTTGGCACTCATTTATTGGCTAAATTGACTGGTCATTGAGCTCTGGGAATCCACTCATGTTCATGGATATGGCTGTCTCTGACTTCTCCACTCCAACCTCGCCCATAAACCCTCCTCTCTGCTTGCACTAGTGTGTGTGTGTGTGTGTGTGTGTGTGTGTGTGTGTGTGTGTGTGCAGAAGGGGAACCTAGACGGTGAAGCGCGAAGCCTCTGCTCAGCAGTCGTCACTCCCCAGCCTGAGCTTCCGCCCGCTGCTGGTATCCCGGGCGGTGACGGTTCGCCTCACCTGGCTACCTGGGTGCCGTCTACCTGCCGTCGACGCCTCATCTCACCACCGGTCTGTGGCTCCCCGACGGTCCCTGATCGCCTGCCCGGCAGCAGCATCCACCCTGAACCCCGCGCGCTCCACAGGGTCCCAGCCCCGCGGCACTCACCTGGGCGCCCGCTCCTCGCCCCGCGGGCGGCCGGGATCTTCGCAGCTCGAGCGGCCCCCCAGCTCTGCAGCCCCCAGCGGCCGGTGGCGACCGTCTGTGACGGGAGGAAGCGACGCCGATTCCCCGGCAACGGAGGCTACAGCGGCCTCCGAGAGCTCGGTGCCGCGGGTCCGAGGGGCTCTGCAGCTCTCCCACGGTCCTGGGAGCGGGTACTGTGCGCCCAGGCTGGAAGCAGCCCCCGGGTGGCTCACAGGCCATCTGAGTGTCTTGGCCGCTCCCAACGAGATGCAAACTCCGCCCCAAAGGGCCCTGAGACCGCCCCCTAAGATCCTTAACCCCACTCCAGCTCGCCTAGACGCCTACCCCGTCTCCTGTGCCCAGTCCCCAAGGTCCCTAACCAGTCCCTGAAGGGCTGGCTGTACTATACCCACAAAGTTTAATCCAACTGCCGAAGATTCCCAACGTCCCCCCACGCCCCTCCGCCTCCCAATATCCCAACACCTCTACTAATGCATTTAACTCTCAGCGGATGTTCTAACCCACTGCAAAGGATTCTAAACCCTCTACCCAAGAGACCTAATATCGGGTCTCCTCTTCCCCAAAGCCTCATCTGGTCCCCAAAGGATGTTGGTTTTGTTTTATATTCATTTATTTACTTATTTATTGTGTGTATGTATACAAGTGTAAGTGTTCCACAGCACAGGTGTGGAGGTCAGAGGACGACTTGGGGGAGTCCGATTGAACTCAGGTCGTCCGGCTTGGTCTCAAGCACCTTTACCCTCTGAGTCATCCTGCTGCCCCCTAAAGGGTTTGTAATCTCACTTTCTGCTCTACCTCCAGGGATTGTAATCCAGCAGCTGAAGGACCCCAACGCTTGTCCTCAAGATCTGTAATCCATTCCCAGTGATTCTGAATCCTGAAAGTGCTGTGGGGTGATTTCCTTTCCCTAGGGATTTTGATCTCAACGTTTGTGTGTGTGTGTGTGTGTGTGTGTGTGTTTTGCTGAGGATCGAAGCCAGAGCCTCACTCAAGTTAGTCCAGCACTCTACCCCTGTGGTACATCACCAGGCCCTAATCTAATCTAATCTCTGGGATTCTAATCCCATAGGTTCCAAACCCCAAATCCTGCACTTCAGCGATCAGTTTTGGCTCTAGGTGGTCCTTTGTCATCAAAGGGTACCTTGTGACGGGAGATGCAGTTGATGCTGATGATATCTCTCTAATGTCCCCTGGGCCTTCCCCAGGACTTACCTTTCTCTTCCTGGTGGCCCTGGTGGCTGGAGCACGCATAGGACAGGCAGGAAGATTCCACCTCTCACTTCAAAGATTCTAACCCTGCTAGAAGGAACCTAGCCTACTAATAAAATTCTAACCCTTTCTGCTGGGGTCGGTATCTCTGCCCCCTTCAGTCCCTCTGCTCTCATCAGGCCCCTCCCACACACAGGGTCCCAGGCTTCCCCAGTCCTGCGGTCAGCTCAGTGGTTTCCCCTCCACCCACCCAGCACTATTCAAACTCCATGCAAAGTTCTGCACCCACCAGCAGGAACTGCCTTATTCCTGGCAGAACTCTGCACTGTGCAGAGGACCTCCCAAGTTGAAGGGGGTGAAGTCTGGTTGGAGGAGCCTGAGACCGGGTTTGGATGGACTCCTGCCTCCCACAGGTAGAGCACATTCACTGGAAAAGACAGTCACTCTAAATTCTGTGTTACAGTCACAAAATGTGCAGGAGCCCTCCTCCAGTCAGTCCAGGCCCATCACTGTCTCTCATTCATTCGTTTATTCATTCATTCATTCACTCATTCCGCAGTACTCTGTTGAGCACTGTTCCTCCCCCAGGGTATCCCAGGTTCCTCAAACCCAAAATTCTGACATTTGCATCAATCACAGGTGGATGACCGACCCTGAGCATGGTAGGATGTTACAGCATCCCTAGGTTCTACCCGCAAGGCCCACAGCACCCCCCTCCCACAGTTCTGACAATCAGAACTATCTCCATACACAGCCAGATGTCCCTAGAGGAGACACAACCATAAAGGACAGCAACTCCACACTAAGCATGTTTGGCATGTACTTAGATGCATGTATGTAAAAACAGATGATGTTTTGCATGTGTTTAATGAAACTGAATGGCACTTGTTCACAGTCACATGTTCACTCCATCACTGTTAATATGCTGCTGAACATAAAAAAAACATAGTCATCATTAGCATCCTCCAAGTTTTATTTTTTGCATTTTCTTAGTCATCCGCACCTGGGTTGTGCACAGCGGGCATCTTCCTCAGCTTTACCAAGAAAGATGGGAGCCTGCAGAAGAGCCACTGCTCCATCTCCCCCACCATTTCTCCCCAGCTCTGTGGATGGGGTTTAATTGGAGCTCCCTGAACTCAGAAGTGAAAGCAGTCAGCACAGGAGATGCAGACAGTTCTGGTCAGAGAACAGGTGAAGGAGACTGAGATGGGACAAGGGCCTGGACATTGACTCACTCTTGTGGGGTGTTAGATGAGGGATACATGGATGGCACCAGGCCTCCAACATTTCTGGCTTTCCCTATGCATGCTCCAGCCACCAGGGCCACCAGGAAGAGAAAAGTAGGTCCTGGGGAAGGCCCAGGGGACATCAGAGAGATATCAGTATCAACTGCATCTCCATTTGCAAGGTGCCGTTTGATGACAAAGGACCATCTAAAGCCAAGCTTTTTCCCCCATGTTTTTTCTAAAGTAATGCTTAATAAAAATCCTTATACAGGACTGGAAAGATGCCTCCGTGGTTAAAAGCACATACCATACTGCTCTTCTAGAGCACCTGAGTTCAGTTCCCAGCACTCACATCCAGTTGCTCACAGGAGCCTGGAACCCCAATATTGCACTCACATGCATAAACCTATACTCAGCCACACACATATAAAAATCCTTATACATGTTCCCAAAGTTTCTATCAAGTTTATTATAGTATAATTTCACGAATATTTTTGTTTATTCTTGTTGCGCATAGGTGTGAATGATGTGTATGTTCATGTGGGCACACACGAGTCATGGCATGCATGTGGAAATGTGTGGAGGTTAAAGACCAACTTTTGGGTTTTCTCCTTCTACCATGGGATCCAGGGAGGGAACTCAGGTCATTAGGTTTGCAGGATGAGTGCTTTTACCCACCAAGCCATCTTACTCACCCAGAAATTTGGGCATGAGTGTGTGTGTGTGTGTGTGTGTGTGTGTGTGTGTGTGTGTGGAGGTCACAGGACAACTTTGTAGTCATTTCTCTTCTTCTAACTTTACATGGGTTTCAGGAATTGAACTGAGGACACCAGGCTTGTGTGACTGAGATTCTTCCTCAGCCTCTCCCTCCCTTCCTTTCTCCCTCCCTCTCTCCCTCCCCTTCCTTCCATTCTCCATCCCTCCATCCCTCCCTCCACCTCTCTTTCTCTCTCTCTTTCTTTTGAATAGAGAATACTTTATTGAGTGCACTGCAAGGAGCAGTATGCTTCAGCCCTGACAGCATCCCCTTGTCTTTCTATCATGCCACAATAAGAACCATGTGGCTTTTGTCTGCCTTTCTCTTGGGTTGTTCCCTCTGGGGGAAGGCCTGCTATTTATGGAACATCCATATGGCACAGGAATGAGGCCTCTCACCAACGACCACAACCAACTTCTTAGCCACATACAGAGCTGCCTGGGAAGCATATCTCATCAAGCTTTGAAGTAGTTGTGGCCTTGGCAAGACCTCGACTACAAGCTCAAGAAGGATCCAAAGCACCATAATCAGCTGCCTGGACTCCTAAATCACAGAAAATGGGTAAGATAGTAAATTCTGTTTTATGCTGTTAGTTTTGGGGTAATTTGATGTACAATGTTGAGAACTAATATAAGATGCAACTACCTTAAGGTTTAAAAAAGGGTGTTTTGTGTCTGAAGAACCCTGGTGTAGCTGCTAGAGGACAAAGTTGAAGTCCACAAGGTTGGCTGGGCTATCAGGACCTTGTAAACTTGTATTAGTCACTTTTCTGTTACTGTGATAGAAACACTGACCAAACCAATTTATAGAAGGAAGAGTTTATTTAAGCTTATGGTTCCAGGGGAAATTACAGTTGGTAATGGCAGGGAGGCATGGTGGCTGGAGGTGGCTGGAGCAGGAACAGCAGAAGCTAAGCTCTCACATCATCACGCAGGCACAGGAAGCAAGAGAGCAACTGGAGATCTGGCAAGGCTTTAAGCCCACCCCAGTGACATGCTTCCTCCAAGATAGTCACACCTTCTAAAACCTCCAAAAACGGCACCATCATCTGGGGACAAAATGTCCAAATACTTGGAGCCCATGGGGGACATTTTCATTCAAACGACCACACCCCACCCTCTGGCCCCCATGGGCTCATGACCATATAAAATTCAAAATGCATTTATTCCAACTTTAAAAGTCCCCATAGTCATTATCAATCTCACTACTATTCCAAAGTCCACAGTCAAAAGTCTTTTCTGAGACTCAGTGAAATATCTTAACTGTAAGCCCCTGTAAAATCAAAAGACAAATTACATACTCCCAACGTACAGTGGAACTCAATACACATTACCATTCCAAAAGGGAGGAATGGAGGCATAATAAGGAAATACTGGACCAAAACAAGACTGAAAACCAGCAGGACAACACCAAATCCAGTAGCTCCATGTTTGACTTCTGGGACTTTATTTCCAAAGGGCTTAGATGGCTCAGCCTCTCCATCTTTGCTGCATGCCACACATGTCTCTCTCTTGTGTGGTACCACTCCCTGAATGCAGGTCTTCTTGGCAGATGCCTTGCAGCTCTGGCATCATGAATTTCTTGGGGTCTCCATTGCCAACCAGGCTTCACCTTCACAGCTTCACACAATGGCTTATCAGGGCCTTCTCTATGCAGGAGAACCCCTTCTGCATGCTGCCTGGCCTCTGAGGCTGTCTGAAACCATGGAGGAAGAATTGATGACCCCTTCACTCTTGCATCTTTCTTGCCTCTAAAGCCAGCACCAGGTGAATGACATTGCCAAGTTTGACTGCTTTATCCATTTTAGAAGCTTTTCTCTTCAGTGGCCCTTGCAGCATTTTCCTTTCACAAGTTGGAGGCTTAACCGGGTGTGGTCTTGCCCTGGGGGCATTCTCTCCATTGTTTAAGTCTGAATCTCTAGGGACCTCCTTAATCACTTTAATATCCTTATCAATGGGATCCTCTCCATGACATGCCAGGGCTCCAACATTTATCTTCCTAGTG